CTAGTTTTTCTGCTCCAATATAAGCATGAAAAAAGAATCAAATTGCTAAAACTTCAGCTTTTGTTGCTGCTTTGTTCTGCTGTTATTTGTAGTCAGTCTGTGCGATATATAAAGACAGAAATACACATATACATGGACACACACACATTATGAATTGAAGGATGATTCTCAAAAATCTAATACATACTTCTAAAATGCTTATAGGTAACAAAAGCTGAAGTTTTAGCAATTTGATTCTTTTTTCATGCTTATATTGGAGCAGAAAAACTAGAACTACTGAGCAAGGGGAATTACTGTTATTTGTGTACTCTTGTAAGACCACCTGCTACAGGAAAAATGCGACACATTGCATGCAAACCTGGCCATAGTTTTATCTGCCTTTTTTAAAAGATATTAAGCAACTATTAAGTGATCTTGTTTTGATGTTGGGTTCTTTACCTTGATGCCTTGTTTTGTGTGGTGAGTTCTGGCAGGAAGGAGTGATAGAAATTGTAAGAAATAAATTATTCTGAGTAAAGAAAATATAATCTATTAAGTAACCCATAGGTATAAAATGTATACATTTAACAAATGAACTCTTCAGAAATCTGTTGAAGTTATAATTGATACTTGAAGAGAAAATAGAAAAGCAACTCTTACGTTTCTTAAAACAGCACCTCGAAGAATTACTCCATTTTATAAAATGTAGATTCGCGCTCAGAGTCCCTTTTTCATAAAAATATACCTTTAGGCTTTTTCCAAAATGTGTTCCCTGACCGGGAATCGAACCCGGGCCGCGGCGGTGAGAGCGCCGAATCCTAACCACTAGACCACCAGGGAAGTTGAGAAATAGGCTTCTTAAAAGACTTATCAGGCAATATTGCCATTTTTTTTTACCCTGCTTTTTAATAGTTTCTTCTTTTATAGCAACGTTCCTCTAAACTTCACTATCTTCAAAATCAGTTCTTTTATATACTATAAGTACGTAACAAAATAAATCTCTAATCAAGGCATTGCCAGTTTAATAAACTCCCCAGCTTAACTACTAACACTGTATCTTTCGTTCTGGGAATATCACTTTAACCTACAAATTAATGGAAAGAAACGCGCTTTTTTTCATCGATCCAGAGGATACTTGCTTATTTTTTTCAGAGGCGGCTGCATCTATTCCCGAACGGATCGACTGAGGGATAAAATGATCTGGAAAGACATGGGACGTTTGAGGATGGCGCTTATCTTTGAAGAAAAAGCCAAATTCCAAATAAGTTTCGAAAGTAAATGTTTTTAGAACCCCGATTTCTCAGTATTAAACGTTGAAAGTATTTTCAGACTTTCATTTGTGATTCCCGTTTCATACCTCTCCTATATTTCCTATTCTCATTTCCTTTATTTTTTTGTTTTTGTATTTGCCTCAATATGAGAACGCCAAAGAGGTTGCCAAATAGACTAGTTGAATGTGACCATTAGGAGGACCACTTGAAACAGGCTTTTATTTTTAATTAAATGTTAAGTTGTCTTGCTCCTATTTATGATCAATCATAAATAGTCATCTTTACCTTTTGGCATGAAGTAAAAAATTCCAAGAAATAAAGAAAAAAAAACAAACAAACACAATGAATTAAAGCTGCTAAAAGCCCGGTTTATTTGGAAGACATGAATAAAGCCACTCAAATCCTGGTTGACCAGAAAACATCATCCACATCTGTTTTGTCCAGAGCAGTGGTCTCTCTGCTCAGCTGATTCCATTCAACAAAGGGGAGAATTTGCTGGCATCACCATAAATGGTGGTGTCTATGTTGTCTAGGAAGATGATTGAAGATGGGCATCTTAAGACAGTGATGGGTTACAGGTTTCAGTGGATTCCCTAAGGCAGCAAAATATTTTAAAGTCTCTAGGATATTTTTTAAGATCTTTGGTCTTCTCCCTTTGGCTCCCTGAGGGAGAAGGGAGGATGCTTCTCTAAGCACATTCAGTGCTGGTGGACTCGGCCGAGTGCTTGGCCAATTCCTTTGTCATGGCTTCCTTCAAGGCAGCTTGCACATCTGTGCCGCTGATGTTGGACAGCTCGTTCTTCTGGCTCAAATTCTCCACCTCTGTGGCCACGTGGTCATAGACATCAGTCAGCAAGGTCTTCATCAGGCTCCTGGCCTTGGCCTCCATCCGCACCTTGGGCATCTGCCGAAGGACCTTGGCGGCAAAGAGCCTTGGGGAGCAGATCCTCTCTGGACCATTGTCCACTGACTTGGGGGCAGAGGACTGCTTGACCCGACGCTTAGGACGAGTCTGGTGCTTCTTCTGTTTCCTAGGCTGCAGTTTCTTCTGCTTCCGCTTCGCTAGTTGGCGCTTCTTCTGGATTTTCTTTCTCCTTGCATCTCTGACTTTCCTTTTGCCTTGCTGTTTGGCAGCCATTGTTCTTTTCTCTTGAAGCCTCTGCCTGAAATGTCACCAGGCTTTTGCCAGACAAAGCCACTTATAGACAATAACATGCAAATGAGAGATCTGTATGGAGTGTGCTGATTGGGTAGCCTTACCTTCATCGTATCCATGGAGGCATTGTTACAACGGACAGGATTGTGATCTAATTTTTGTAATCTTCAAGAAATGAAATTTAACTCTGCCACCATTTCCTGGTTCAAGGATTTCCTGACCATATTTAAATTTTTGCAATGAAAATTCATTTTTACTACCTTCACTGTGTATCCTAGTTTCCAGTTCTTCACCCTCAACTCTTGCTCTTATTCCCAAAATCAATTTATCTTTAAACACAAAATACCATAATATTTTGAGTATATGGCTGTCTTTACAATTTGTTTACCATTTTCTTGGCTGGCTACAAATGTAGTATGCAGTAGCCTAATATTTGGGGTGAATGGTATTTTACCAAATGTGTCTGCTATATTTCAGTGAGCTGTTCAACAGACAAAGCATCTTCTTAGAAAGAAATTAGAGATAAAATCCACAGAGAACAATTTTTTCACATGAGAAAAGTCCAAGAAAGATACTTGTTCCCCCTTCGTGAAGAACTGAAAATAAGAGATAGAAGCTGCTATGATTATTCAGACATATTTAAAATAATCATAACAAGCAATAATTCCAAGACAATTTATATGCCAAAGTTTGAATTGCTGTCTTTATTTACTTTAGTGCAAGCCTGAACCACCTCCTATTCTTCTTTCCAATTGTTAATTGTTATGAAGATCAAGTTTCCATACTTCAATTCAGTATTTGAAATATGCTAATTAGCATTTGAAATATGCTAATTTGTAGCTGCGCAATAGCTATGAGATTCCAAATAACTACATCAAAGATCTGATCAAGCATTCCATTCTTGATAAAATTCCAAAAGCATCAATTTATATGAAAGTTTAATTACAACCTTCATTATATCATCTACCTACACATTAGCTTTCCAGAGAATTTTGGCAAATATTCTAATTGTTATCATTTTGAAGTGGCCTGTATACCCAATCTGTATATCTAGCAAAGCTTTGTTGATGCTAGGAATGACCAGTGCCTATTGTAGCTAGTATTGTTAATGTATGTTTTTTTGTGTATTTCATGACCAAGACATTTCACATACATTTATTCCATTTTTCAAGCTAATTTTACTGTTTTGATAACTACACCATCAATGTGTGCTATAATTAGGTTTGTCATCACCATCTGCCTGCCCACAATTCTTAGATTCTATTGTTTTAGTTGAATATTTTAATCTCTAGTGAGGACTACAAGATTTTTAAAATGGAAATGGTGTACAAGATTTTAAACTAGAAATAGTGTAAGAGATACAATATATACACAAGTGATTAAAGCTGCTAAAATCCTGATTTATTGAAAAACGATACATAATATATGATGTTCCTTTTGTTATCAGAAACCACTTCGCAAATAATTGAAATCAGGTTGATTGTTCTGATTCTTCTATATAGTATGGAATATCTCTAGTACAGATCGAGCAGTTCAACGTTGTTGAAGTTGATGTTTCAGTTGATTATGAATATGCACGATATTGTTTAGCTCATCCCATAAACTCCATTTTCTAAGATACTGTTGGAAGTGAAGCCGGAAGTTTAGTAAATGGGAGATCACAGGATTTCTTGGATATAATAAGGCAGCAAAATATTTTAGTGTTTCTTAGGTCTTTCTTGAAATGATCCTCTTCCTTTTCACCCCTATGTTGGGGCCCTCCCAAGGAGGGGAGGAAGGCTATTTCTTCTAAGCACTGCTGATGGGCTCAGCCGTGTGGCTGGCCAGCTCCTTCGTCATGGCTTCCTTCAAAGCGGCCTGCACATCTGTGCAGCTGATGCTGAAGGGCTGAGTTTTCTGGCTCAGGCCCTGAACTTCTGTGGTGACATGATTGTATACATCTGTTAGTAAGGTTTTGACCAAGCCTTTGGTTTTGGCTTCAATGTAAGCCTTGAGCACCTGTCGGACCATCTTGGAAGCAAACAGCTTAGGGGAACTGAATCTCACCACCTTGCTGCTGACTGTGTTAGTAGCGTACGCATGTTTGACCCCATGTTCTAGGTGAGAATGGAATTTCTTCTGATTTCGAGTTCTTCGACTTTGCCGGGTGTGCTGATATTTCTTCCGGAGAGGGTTTCTCTTCACGGTTTTGGCCTTTCTTTTCACTTGCTGTTTAGCAGCCATTGTTCTTTTTTTTTAAACTCTCTTATGTTATTGTTTTGGTCCCACTCTCAGCAAGCCCCTGCCTTCAAATGTCACCAGCCCATTGTGAGCAAAGCCATTTATAGGCAACAGTATGCAAATGAAGGAATTAAACTGAAAGTGCTGATTGGACAGCTCAAACCTTTGCTGTAATAAAGAAACCATTATCACTCCAAGTGTGGTTATGATCTGGGCAGTTATGAAGTCTTATGATGTCACAGCTGAGCTGCTCACAGCAATAAATATTATGGTTACAACTCTAAGTAAAATTACCACCAAAATTAAAGGTGTAAGTCAAGAATTCCTTTTTTTTAACAATCATGCGCACTCACATACTAAAACCCACATAAATCCAACCAAATATATTTCTCAAATCACCATTAGAAATTAATCAATATTTAAATACATTAATGTTCCCAGAGTTGGCGCCAGAAGATAACTCATGGAACCTCTGTTTTCTGTTTCAGAAATCACTGAAGTCTTTAATACTATTCAAAGTATTGAATAGTATTGAATAATACTATTCATATTTGGTGACTATGGACAATCTCAGTCATCCAGGACATGGTTGTCCCAAAGGTGCTTTTTCAAAAAGCATCTGGACTTACTTTTTCTTGAAGGTGTGAGAGTGCTAATGACCAGATGACCACAAGGAATATGAATCCTTCCATTCTCTACCATTCAGTCAGAACTGAAGAGAAGCTTCCTGAAATTCGCATAGCAAATTTTTGTTGCCATGCAAGACATTTGTTAAGTTAGTTTTGCTCCATTTTACAATCTGTCAGCCTCTGCTTTGCTATCGCTTCGGCTGCCATGAAACGGGGAGGGAGGGCATGGTATTTGGGAGGGGTTACTCATTTTGCTGGAGGAAGGTTCTGGAGTTCACCGGCTGATCGGAGTACGCATGCATGGGTGTTTC